AATGATTGTTTCGATTTATTCTTATTTATGTCGCTCCAACATGAATTTCGGCTTTGTTACAAAAAGTGAACAATCAAAAGGTTCACTTTTAACGAAATGTGTATTATGCATAAATGTCATCACACAGATAGAGAAGCTTCACACAAAGTCAAGTCGAGATGAGATGAGAACCAGATAGCCAGCTCATATTATCGCAACAGCATTATACAAAGAGTATCTCGAATTCAAGAGTTTAACTCCAACAGATCACAAGTCTCCCTCAATCAACCGCCAACATAGGGCCTGGCTCAGCCAGCGTATGCCCAGATCACAGGTATGGTGCCAGCAGGTAAGTACCCACCATATCCAACGTAGGAACCTGTCCTCTCTCTCTCTTTTGTCTCACGATCTCTGTTCTGATTCTCTCGTCTCATCATGCATGCACACTCCCTACTTAAGAGAATCTACTCTGAATGCTACTCACTGATAACCTACTACTAACCCTTCTACTACTAACAAAGCTGGCGCAGCTATGTCTTCTTCTGCTAGCCAGCGCCCAACACTTCTCCTTTCTGGCGCAGCTTTCAGCCACCGCTTTCTCCCTGCATGCTAGCGCACAAGTGCTTCAGCACTTCCATGCATCAATGGCAGTGGAGATCTGTCGTGTAGGGAGGCTGGCTTGGTTTCTTATAGTGCTGGCCTCCCTTCGTGAGGCCTGAATCAGCCTTCCTTGGGTCTTTCCCCAGTCCCAGACCAATGCAGAATGTGTCCCAGTACCTTTCCCTCAGGGTCTGCTGCTGCTGCGGCCTGTAGGCCTGAATTTTGGACTTTGAGTCTGAATCTGGACTGCCTATTAGACTTTGACTTGGACTGGGACTCTACCCCATTGACTTCCATTTGAAAAGACACAACTTCTGCACGAACAGACACATTACTGTACGAATAGACATGACTTGCACAGCCCCTGGACGAACAGACGTGAGGGGCACGACTGTGACCTTTGACACAACTCCTCACTTCAGTTAAGATGTGACTTGTGACCCTGAGAGCATGTCTTTTGATCTGCTTTCACGAGTTGGGTTCTGGCCGAGTGGGCCTCATTATGTTGCGTTCATCATTCAGGGTCTGAACGGGTAAAGACCTTTTTACTCTTGCCGACCTAGTTTCGAGGTACTCTGAGAAAACCTTCATCTATCTATGATGCTTATTCCTCTTCTTGTTCTTTCATAAACAGATACAATATGAGGCGCAGATTCAATCAATTCTTCCCTTGTGAACCAGCGATCTTCACTGGGATCCTGATAGGCAAATCTTACTTTATATTGTCGTTGGGGTCTGCCTCTACGTCCAGTTTGAAAAGTACTTTTAGCAACAATCTTGTCCACATCATATTTCCCATCCATAATAGGAGGTATCGCCGATTTGCGACTGGGAAATAACTCATTTGTCACGCAAGGTAAGAACTTTGAAGCGTGAAATACTGGATACGTATGTAAATGCAGAGGAATCTCAATCACCTAAGAAGGTTCATCTACATCTCCAATCACATCTAGAACCTGCCAAGGTCTTCTATAAGCGGGTAGTAACTTCGGGGAGATGTTCTCTTCAGGGACAAACTCTCTAGACTTAACCCATACCAGATCACCTACAACAAACTGAGAAGGTCTTTTGTGCTTATTCGCCTGTTCTATCATCTGATGTTGTGCCTTCATTATATTCTCCTTTACTTTCTCAATATCTTTCTAATATTGTATCGCAAATTCGCTTGTTCCTAGTGAAAGTTTATGCACTTGATCCGGGTTCAGACGATCAATAGGCCTATGTGGTCGCCATCCCAAATGCAACTCCATTGGAGTCTTGCATGTAGACAAGTGAGCAGAGTTATTATAGACACTAGCAACTTTGGGCAAATGCTCATCCCAACTGTGTTACCGCGCGTTCAGGGTATGAACGCGGTGAACGCGCGTTCACTGGACGCACGTGAACGCGTTTGACGCGTTTGCGCAGGGGGTTGTGCGGGGTGGGGGGG